ATTGACAAATTTTTTAAAAAAATTTTTTATTGTGATTTGGGTGAAAGTTTCCAGAACAAATTCATTTTTCATACAGGAGCTCACATACACTTTGTCTCATGACATTGACTGTAGTTTCCCACAATGCAACAGCTTCCCTCCCACTTCCTCCCCATAGTTGGCTCTTCTCTGTGTCCTTCCTTCCCATGCACTCCTGCCACCCGAGCTGTCTCCCTGTGAACACACGGGCCCTTCTATTAGCCCATGATTGATCTCTCCAAGGAGTGTATCTGCCTAATGTAAATGTGCAGCTCATATGCCTGTCTTTTGTTTGACTGGAAGTCACAGGAGTGGGTTCAGTTCTAGACCTGAAGGGCAGCTAGGGGCCTTAGTCTCAGGGGTTCCACCAGGCTTTATCAGACCAGCAAACATGGTCCCTTTTTTAAAAAAATTATTTTGTGTTTTGTTCCACATTGTTCTCCCACTTTATCCAGGATCTCCTATATAGGTCCCCCTCTGAGTGGTTAATAGTGGTAGCTGGGCACCATCTACTTCTTCTGGTCTCATAGTCATAAAGGCTGAGGATCACATGGTGTACCAGTCCCTTCAACTGATTGTTTCCATGTGTCTTTGGTTTTCTTCATTTTTCTTTGCTCTGCATTAGGAGAGACCCATTGTTGCATCTAGGTGGCTACTTACAAGCTTTTAAGATCCTAGTCACTACTCGCCAGAGTAGGATGTGGAACAATGTTTTTGTGTAGTATGTTATGCTAGTTGGGCTTGATATCCTTTGTGACCATGGTCCTAAGCTCGTAGGTCCAACTACTTGCTACCTCTGGATAGCTGGCTCTGGCCAAGAAGTGACTACAACCTTGCCCTTTTACAAATACACTTGGAGAAACATTGTCTGCCAACACTATACATGATCATGGGCACACTACCCGCTTCCTAGAATAGTTCAGCCTGTAAACCCATCTATCCACCAGTAGATCAATGTTTGCCTTCACTTACAACATAGTACTGTATGTGCAAAAGGGTTCACCTTTGTTGTCTATACCTCCCATGCATCTCTCTATGTCTTGAAAAATTTGGGACATTTTCAGCCAGTGATTGTCTAGTTTTTTCCCCCCAGCATTAGCACTTTTTCTCCTCTTCTTCTGGGACTCTGATAACACAAATGTTAGATCTTTTGTTAATGTCCCACAGGATCTCTGAGGCTTTGTTCATTTTTCCCCCCTCTATCTGGCAAAAGCACAGATGAAGAAAAGCAACCCTCTTGGAGCCTTCGTTCACTGAGTGGAGAGGAACAGTTTACTGCTTCTGAGTTTTGGTCGTGGTATGCTTTCACTGTTAGAGTCAGCCACTGCTACCATAGGATTACTTGGGGGTTGGAGCATAGGAGAATGTAAAAAAGAAAATAAAGATGGGGTATTTCCATATTCTCTTTGAGCGTCAAGAGTTCTCTTTCCTACTCCTCAAGCCAGAACTAGAGGGATTGTTCTGGAGCTATCTGTGCTCCATGGCCACTTCTGGTGCATTGAGTTCTATCTGAGCATACCAGAGGAGAGAAAGTGACAAGGTCATGGCTGGTTTGGTGGTATTTCAAATTCTGGTGAAAATGTTTTGTTGATACAGTTTACTTTTCAGACATCTCAGATTGCAGCTCCATGGTCCCCAGGTAGGAGTTTAAAGTGCCCTTAACTCATCTTGCCTGGAACTGAAACCTTTGTTGTTCGTTTGATTTTGCCATTAAAAATGGTACGTGCCTTAACGTTTGGTTTTAATATGTGCTTTTTGATTTTTTGTTTTTTCATTTCTCCTTAAATAGATTGATCCAGAAAACATGGCCACTGCAATTAGGGAGGTGGGAGTTTGGAGACAGACCAGAACACTCCTACTGAAGAATTATCTAATTAAGTGCAGGACTAAAAAAAGTAGTGTTCAGGTAAGCTAAACAAGAAAGGTAAAGTTTTCTTATGCCTTGTTAAAGTTTATTTTGTTCTGATATGTTCTGATTTATTTTGCTCAGTACATTTTAATTATAATTTTACTTCTTTAGGTCCCTTTAATTTGCTTGTAAAGTAAAATTGTACTGTATTTGCCATGCTGCTGCTGCTGCATACTGTCGAGTCAGCCCCCGACTCATAGCAACCCCTCCTTGGGTTTCTGAGGCAGTACCACTATGGAAGTAGATTGCCTCATCCTCCTTCTGAGGAGTGGCTGGTGGGTTTGAACTGCCAGCTTCCTGGGTAGCAGTCAAGTGCCTTAGTCACTATGCTACCAGAGCTCCTGTATTTGCCATGTTGTTGTTGTTGTTGTTATGTGCCATCGAGTTGGACCCAACTCATAGCAACCCCTCCTTGGATTTCCCAGGCAGTATCACTACAGAAGTAAATTGCCCCATCTTTCTTAGAAATATCCCAATAACCTAATACTTTCTAAATGTTAAAAAAAAAAAATGTAATAATGATTCTAGAATTCAGTTAATTTCTAAACATCAGTACTTTATTTCAAATCTTTAGGCATGCATTTCCCAAATTGATGTTTCATGGATGAACATTCCATAGAAAACTTGATGGAACATTATTCTATTTTATTGCCCCACCCCCCCACCCCCACTTTCACTTCATGGTCTCCATATTGAGTTTTCCAAGATTACCAAAATTATGGCCCATATTTCTACCAACAAGTGTATTACTTTGATTTGGTTTTTTATTGTGATTTGAGTGAAAGTTTACAGAGCAAATTCATTTTCCATTCAGCAGTTCATACACATTGTGTTCCGTGACATTGAGTACAATTCTCCACAATATAATAGCTCTCTTCCCACTGCCTCCCTGTGTCCTTCTTTCCTTTAAATTCTTGCCCCCTGAGCTATCACCCTGTACAAATACTGCTCTTCTGTTTCCCCATGATTGATCGCTGTAAGGAGTATATCTACCTGATAAAAATGTTCATGCTATATGCCTGTCTATTGTTGGCTGGAAACCACAGGAATGATTTCAACTCCAGACCTGAAAGGGTATCTAAAGGCCATAATCTTGAGGGTCTTACCAGGCTCTGTTAGACCAGTAAATCTGGTCTTCTTTATGATTTTTACTTTTGTTCCACATTGCTCTCCCATTCTATCCAGGATCTCCTGCTCCGATCCCTTTCTGAGTGGTTGACAGTGGTAGCCAGGCACCTTCTAGTTCTTCTGGTCTCATGATCATGTAGGCTGAGATTCCCATGGTCCACTAGTTACTTTTAAAGTTAAAGAGGGAAAAGAAGATAAGAACTCTGGCTAACCAGAGTTTTATAATTCTTAGCTAATAAGAATTTCAAAGAATGAAATACATCTCCAGAAATCAACAGAACAAGTAAACAGCAAGGTGAAACGATAGGTCATCCCTATTAAAACTGACTATGGAACACAACTGAGCATAGTTTTAGAAGTAAAATTTAGGTGTAATTAAAGTATGCTTTCTTTTTTTTTTTTTTTT